GGCAATGATGCTGTGTTCTCCAGAGATTTCTGAATGGTAGGGCATCAAAAAGTTAAAATTATAATAAGAAGGAAATAACAAGCTGAGGAGGAAATGTCCTGTGTTCTTAGATTGTCTCTCTGGCTTAATTAGCACCATCATTTAGTCTTGTCTCTCTTGACTTTTTTAGGTGCTGAATGTGTCAGGCAGAGGAAACTTCTTCCTTACTTGGGACAATGTCTCTAGTCAGCCAATCCCTGCAAATGCCACAGCCCATCTGGTGGGAGACTTCTTTAAAAAATGAGGGATGGGGGTGGGAGAACTGGGGGTGGTCTTTATGCTCATGATATAAATTTCTGGCATTTTTTCCTTTGTAATAGATTCAAACAACCATTGAGGAGTTACTTGCAGTAAAATGCAAACTGGAACCCCTTTGGGCTAACATCCTTCTCCGGCTTGGATTTGAAGGAGGTGCTGTCCCTGGCTTCACACATTCTGACTGTCTTTTTCATCATGGTCTTTTTTCTTTCTATAAAATGAGAACAATCCCCATTTCCTCTCCAAGGTGATAACAGAGTAAAAAAAAAAATATGCAACCTGGATTTGGACACTGAGTGGCTGAGGGACTGGCACTGTGCTTGGGAGTGTGATGCTCAGTGTGGGTGTCAATAGAAAGGAAAGGCATTCCTCCTGGGCTGTGAGGTAGAGTGCAGCACCCTCCTATACTCCCCACGCCACATGCTGGGAAAAGGTCAAAGACATAGGTGAGAAACATGCAAACCTAGCCAAAACCATACTAATCTTCAAATTACATCTAAAGGAATTGCTAATTAAGAAAGTGGTCTTAAGAAATTCTTAAAATGTGAGGGTATGTTTTTAAAACTACTACTAAGGTGAACTAAATTCTAGTTATTTTTGAACACCTCTTCCGTCTTGATATTCCTTGTCTTTTTGCTTCTCAATAGTTTTTCATATCCCGCTACACAGAGAAAATGCTGAAGGATTTTCAAGGCTCCAGGGAACACAGAATGAGTTTCTTATCGCTGGAGCCTTCAAGCCAGGGGTGCTGACCACTCATGCTGTGGCCAGCTCTCCCAGGGCTGAGGGGCCCATATCATGGTGAACAGGACAGCCCCCTACAACAAAGAATTATCCAGCCCCTAAAATAGTAATAGTGCTGAGGTTGAAAACTCCTGTTCTAAAGTCTTCTTGTGCCAACAACTTT